AAAAACTGTAGCTTTTTGGAGCTTGGAGATGAACCACGGAGTTCTATACTGGAGAACACCAAATGCCAGAAAGATTAAGTGACTTGGCCAAGGTCACACATTGGATTAGTGAACTAAAATCCAAGATTTTTCACTTCCTGCCCAATTGCTTTGCACTGCCTTACCTGCTTCCCATTTTAGCAGCCCACTCTGCCTCTTCTCCAGCATAATTCCCCCCACCTACAGACACATATCTGCCGTAAAGCCCTGAAATACTGCCCGGTGTTTTAGTGATGTCTATGGATACGTACTCAGTATCCCCTAGAATAAGAATGCTAGCAGCTAGCGCTGGTGGAACACCTACTTTGTGCTGGGCACCATGCTGTTGTCTACCGTAATCCTCGTAGCAACCATGTGAAGCAGTTATTGTTATTGCCCCATTTTATAGATGAGGAGGCTGAGTCTATAAAGTTTGGTGAATTCAAAGAGTCACCTAGACAATAAGTGATAGAGTCAGAATTTGAACACAGGCCTTTCTCAGTTCAGAGTTGGTGAACTTGACCATTACACAGCGTAGCCAGCCTACGCAGAGCTCCATGCTGGGTGTGTGTGAGGAAGGGGTGGGTACGATGTGCGTAAGATGTGGTCCTTACCTTCAAAGAGCTTGACACTCGAGGGAAAGTGTATTGATAGAGCAAAGCTGAACAACACAGCTCCAAGGGGGGATTTTTCTAAACTAAAGAAGATTATAGAGACAAAGTAGCCAAACGCAGTGAATGAACGTGGATAGTTTCCTGGATTTGAAATAGAAAACAGAAAAACAGTAAAACGGCTCTAAAGAACATTTTGAAACTATTGGAGAATGTGAGACTAAACTACATATTGGACGATGTGCTGCACAAGGAGTGTCTTTGTGTTTGTGGACATCCAGGACAGTGTGAGTCCGTGTCAGTCAGTCTGGGAGTCAGGACAACAGCAATGGTGAATTGAGTGCCTCACGGACTTCTTTTAATTGACAAATAAAAATTATATACATTTATGATGTAGAACATGATGTTTTAAATATGTATACATGTGGAATGGCTTAATCAACCTAATTAACATATGAATGTCCTCACATACTTAATATTTTTGATAGTGAGAAGACTTAAAATCTACTCTCTCAGCAATTCTCAAGTATACTCCGTTATTAACTCTAGTCCCCGTATGGTACGATAGCTCTCTTGCATTTATTCCTCCTGTCTAACAGATATTTTGTATCCTTTGACTAACGTCTCCCCAAAACCACCACCACTACCGTCACCACCACGCCCCTAATAGCCACCATTCTACTCTCTGTTCTGTGAGTTTGTCTTTTTCTAGATTCCACATAGAAATGACATCATGCAACATTTGTCTTTCTGTGCCTGACTCATCTCACTTAGCATAATGTTCTTCAGGTTCATTTGTTTTGTCACAAATGGCAGGATTTTCTCCCTTTTTTAAGGCTGAGTAACATTCCATCGCGTATATGTACCACATTTTCTTTATCCATTCATCCATTGATACATAGTTGGGCAGACTCCATGCCACGGCTGTTGCAAATTGTGCTGCAATGAACGTGGGAATGCAGATATCTTTTCAACATACTGATTTCATCTCCTTTGGCTGTATACCCAGAAGTGAGATTGCCAGACCATGTGGTAGTTTTATTTTTAATTTTTTGAGCAATCTCCATACGTTTTTCCATTATGGCTGTACTAATTTACATTCTCACCAACATTGTGCAAGGGTTCCCTTTTTTCCACACCCTCGACAACACTTGTCATCTTTTTATTTTCATCTTTTTGATAATAGCCATTCTAACAGGTGTGAGATGATATCTCATGGTGGTTTTAATTTGCATTTCTGTGATTACTGATGCTGAGCATCTTTTTCATGTACCTGTTGGCCATTTGTATGTCTTCTTTTGAGAAATGTTTATTTGAGTCCTTTGCCCATTTTTAACTGGGTTATTTGTGGGGTTTGGAGAGTTTTTTGTTTGTTTTTTGCTAAGTTGTATGCATTCCTTATATATTTTGGATATTAAACCCTTATTAGATGTATGGTTTGCAATTATTTTCTCCAGTTTGCAATTATTTTCTCCCATTTCATGGGTTATCTCTTGACTCTGTTGACTGTTTCCTTTGCTGTGCAGAAGCTTTTTAGTCTGATGTAATCCCATTCATCTATTTTTGCTTTTGTTGCCAGTGCTTTTGACATCACACCCAAAATATCATTGCCCATACCAATGCCGTGGAGCTTTTCCCCTGCATTTTCTTCTAGTATTTTTATAGTTTCAGGTCTTATGTTTAAGTCTTTAATCCATTTTGAGTGGATTTTTGTATATGGTATGACATAAAGGTATATTTTTATTCTTCTGCATATGGATATCCAGTTTTCCCAGCACCATTTATTGAAGAGACTATCCTTTCCCATTGTGTGTTCTTGGCATCTTCATTAAAAATCAAAAGACTGTAAATACTGAGTTTATTTCTGGGCTTTTTATTTTGTTCCATTGGTCTATGTGTCTGTTTTTTTGCTAGTACTATGATATTTTAATTACTATAGCTTGGTAATTTAGTTTGAAATCAGGTGTTGTGATGCCTCCAGCTTTACTTTTTATTCATTTATTTTTCTCAAGATTGCTTTGGCTATTTGGGGTCTTTTGTGGCTCTATACAAATTTTGGGATTGTTCTTCCTATTTTTGTGAATAATGTCATTGGAATTTTGACGGAAATTGCATTGAATCTGTAGATTGCTTTGAATAGTATAGACATTTTAATAATATTAATTCTTCCAATCCAAGAATATAGGATATCTTTCTATTTATTTGTGTTATCTTCAACTTCTTTCATCAACATTTTATAGTTTTCAGTGTACAGATCTTTCGCTTCCTTGGTTAAATTTATTCCTAAGTATTTTTTGGTGGCTATTGTAAATGGAATTATTTTCTTGATTTCTTTTGTGGATAGTTCATTGTTCTTGCAGATTTTATTTTATTTTATTTTTCTTTAAAAGACAAGGTCTCACTCTGTCACCCATGCTGGAGTGCAGTAGCACAATCATAGTTCACTGCAGCCTTGAACTCCTGGGCTCAAGCGATCCTCCTGCTTCCGCCTCCTGAGTAACTGGGACTGCAGGTGCAGCCATCATGCCTGGCTATTTTATTTTTTTATTTTTTGTAGAGACAGGGTCTCACTATGTTGCCCAGTCTGGTCTTGAACACCTGGCCTCAAGCATGTTCTTGTAGATGTTAAAATGAATAAAAGCTAGTGGCAGGTAATCAGTGATTAGAGAATGGCATCAGAGGGAAACAAGGGTGGGGTCTCTCTTGGGCAATAGTAAGAGTTGTGGGGTATTTAGGGCATAGCTGGGTTTTAATTATGGCAAGAAGATAAATGGAGGATGGAAAAGGAAAACATTAGAAAGAGCACCAGTGCCTCAGTTAAGGGATGGAGAATCAGGAAAGAAGCATCAGCAGAAAAGAGGCAAAGGGATACATGGGGAAAGCATGAAATATGAGCCCTACAGACCTGTGTTTGAATCCTCACTCCACTCCTTATTGGCTGTATCACCTGGAATCAGTCTGCTTCTTCATCTGTAGATAGAGGACAAGAAGAATCTAAGGCCTTATCGCCCTGGGTAGAGTGCAATAGAGTCATTGTCATCGTAGCTCACTGCAACCTCAAACTCCTGGGCTCAAGCAATCCTCCTGCCTCAGCCTCCCGAGTAGCTAGGACTACAGGCATGTGTCATCATGCCTGGCTAACTTTTCTATTTTTAGGAGAAATGGGGTCTTGCTGTTGCTCAGGCTGGTCTTCAACTCCTGAGCTCAAGCAATCCTCCTGCCTCAGCCTCCCAGCATGCTAGGATTACAGCACCATGCCTGGCCGATACTTAATGTTCATATAACAGAAATCAGCTGAACAGGTATAAAAATTCAAGTCAGTAACTCAAAAGAAGATGATCTACTCCATCAGTACCCACTGTGATGACACTTGTACACTTTCCTGTCAAGCATACACTGAGTTTGAGATGCCTTGAAAGACTTTGCCAAAAATTTTGTCTTCTTTTAATTCCCTATTCAGAATGGACCAGAATAAAGGCATATTCCATCCACAGAACCGAGTTCTACCCCTCTCCTTTCATCACTATTTGCATTCATTTGCATACGCCTTCAATGGCCTTGGCTTTCTCTCTCCCTCATGTATATTCAACTGGCAAACTCCAGTGCTGGGTAAAGCCAGCTTCCCACCCCATCTCTACCCACCCCATGTAGCTGAACATGGCTAGAGAAAAGCACAATCTAATCTCACTTAAAATGTATGGCCACACACCTTGGGCAGGCCTTAGAGTTACTTTGCAATACTACATTTCCCTAATAATCCATCATCCCACTTTCCCAGTCCACTCTTTCAGACTTCCTCTTCTGTCCTCAAACCCTCAAAATTTCCTCACTCTCAGCTGACAGTCTTCTTTTAACCCAATAACAGATAACAGACACATGCAAAGTCTATCGACCTTCCTACCTCCTGCTCATATACTTCCCTCAGGATACTGTGTGTGACCTTTCTGCTCTCCTAGCTAAGGCTAAACCTTCCCTTTGTGCACGAAATCCAAGTGCTTGCATATACTCAAGAGCATTGTCCTGCAACTGTCCCCTCTCTCTTCTGCATCTTGAATGTTTGTTCTCTTTGCCAAATCATTTCTGGCAATCCGTGAGCATGATGTAATCAGACCCATCATATAAAATACCCTTGACCCAATCCCCCTTTAAGACCACCCATGTTTCTGCTCTTCAGCATAGCAAATGAATAATACATGAAAGAATAATGATACTACCTCCTCCACGTCCTCTCTTCCTATTCTCTCCTGAGCCACTTCCCTCAGGTTTCCTTTCCCACCACTCCACTGACACTGCCCCGCCAAGGTCAACGATGACCTCCGTGTTGCTGCGTCCCGTGATCTCTGACGTTCAATACCTATCTCTCCCATTAGCAGCATTTAACACCGATGATCACTCATTTTTTCGGTAAACAGTTTCCTCACTGGCCTGCAGGACAGTCATCCTCTTTGTCTGCCTCTTGCCCAACTGGCTGCTCTTTCCCAGTCCCTTGCTCAACCTCCCTCATTTCACGGGTCTCTCAATAGTGTCCGGGTCGTTCGCTTCATCAACACGCACTCTCATGGCCTGAAATGTTATCTGTGTGTTTTAAACTCCTGAACTGAAATCTCTAGCCTAGATCACGACTCATGTATCCAACTGCCTACTCAATATCTCCTCTTGCGTATCTATTGATAATAAATATCCCAAACTTAGCAAAACCAAAACTAAAATCTTCATCCCATCCCTCCCCCCCAAAACCATGCTCCTCTCCAGCCTTGTGCATCCCACTAAATGGCAACTCCATCCTTCCAGTTGGTTAAGCCCCAAACCTTGGAAGCATTCTTGATTCCTGTCTTTCACAGCCCACGTCCAGGTGCATCAGAGAGCTCTTTCAGTTCTACCTTCCACGTATGACCAGAACCAACCAGTTCCCACCTCCTCCTCCACAAGCCCAGTTTAAGTCACTGTCAGTCCTGCTTGCACTACTACTGTACCTCCTAATGGGCCTCCCTACTTCCCCTCTGGCAGCCAGATCCTTTATGAGTCACTCGTTTCTCCACACAGAACCCTTCAATGCTTCTCTCGCTCGAAGTAAAATTCAAGTCCTTGCCATGGTCTCAAAGCACTAAATTATCTGCCCCACTATACCTCATTCCTCCTACTGTCATCTCCTGCAGTTCCCCCACCTTGCTTCCGCCATTCAAGCCACAGTGGCCTCCTTGCTGTTGCTTCAACACTGTGTACACACTCTAGTCTTGGGACCTCAGTGTTGGTTGGTCTACCGCCCTCGAATGCCTGCCCTTCCGCAAGAGATCTGCATGGCTCACTCTCTGCCATTAAGTCTCTCCTCAAAGGTCACCCTATCAGAGAGGCCTTTCCTGACCGCTCTCTATGAAATAGCTTGTGTACACACACACACACACACACACACACACACACACACACACACACACACCATGACTCTTTCCCCATTACCCTACTGTACTTTTCTGTGTAGCACCTGTCGTCACCTGGTGTTTTAAAGTTGTCCGTGGTCCTCTCTGCAGTAGACAATAAACTCCACGAAAACATGGACTTTTGCTCACCCATCACCTCTACTGGTGGCTGGTACTTAGTCGGTGCTCCATGAATGAATGAACGAATCTATGTAGCTGCATTTTAGGGAGCACCTCACTTCCCCAGGCCTGCTGCAGAATTTAAAGGTAAATGGTGGCAGGGGCTCCGGGCAACGGGTTCAGAACTGTCGGCCCAGCAGCCTCACTGAAAATATGGAAACATTGAAACACCAAGCAGGGCCCTCAGCCCCTGTGCCGCTGTCAGAGCAGTTGGTCACATTCGGAGGACCACTTTTAAAGAAACAGCTGAGCAGTTTTAAAATGCAAAATGATGAGCGTCTATTTAGGCACTTTGAGTTTTCCTGTTTGACCAAAGTGTGTTAAAAATTAAGGTACTAAAATAATATTTGTTTATTGGTGGTGAGTTATTTCGATGCAAATGAAACTCAGCCCTCTGAACTGCACCTTCTGCCGCTTTACTTAGCACTCGTCCAGACACGAAGCCACTGGTGCCACCAGCCCTCCGCTGCTCGGCGGCTGGGAGGATTCCGGCAGATCCGTTTGGCCATTATCCTGTCATTTTGATTGTGCCTGTCGCAAAAGCCCGAGACTGGTGGAACCTGCGGGGAAGAGGACCCGCCTAGCTCGGGGCGGGTTGGGGTGCGCTGCGCGGAGGCGCGGCTGACGCCCGGGTCCCGGGTCTCGCTCGCAGGTGCTGGGCGGCGGAGAGCCCCGAGGAGGAGGAGGAGGAGGAGGAGGGGAGCGGGCCGGCCGCCAGCCCGTACGACTACCGGAGACTGCTGCGCAAAACCTCCCAGCGCCGGCGCCTCCTCCAGCAGTCGTAGCGCAGCTACCGGGCGGCCACCGCCGTCGGAAGGTGCAGGGGCTAAAGCGGGCCCCTCCGGCGCTGGCACCCCCGGGCCCCGAAGCCGAGGCCCTGATCTCCGCAGGGGCTGCCTGCTGCGCCCGCCCCTCGGGTGCCAGGGCCAGCCTTCCGTGCTGCAAAGGAAGAGAAGCCGGAGCCCTCGGGAAACCTCCTGGGCGCCACCTCTCCGCACTCCGCACCCTCCACTCTCGCCCGCCCGCGGGTTGGAGCATTCTTGTCCTTGGTCCCCTGATGGGTCTCTTTGTTCACATGTTTGCCACTCCTTCTGTGGACCCCACTGCGCCTCAGCCCCCTCCGGCCCCTCTCTCAGTTTGGGTGACTTCAAAGTTTCCTTCTTTCTTGACTTCTCCAGGCCCACGGGTCACTCGCGGGCCGGTTGGTCTTGGAGCACAAAGCCCGGGTTGGGTTGGGGAGAATTTTGAACGTGAACTTCATCTCCAACTTGCGCTTCTCCTCCCCCCGGGTATTACGGTTACTAAATAAAGGAAGTGCCTTGGAAAGCCCGTGGTTTGAGTGGCCGGTCTGCTGTAGGGCTGTGCCGGGGCCGCGCTCAGAGAGGTGCGTTGAGGTCCTTGTGTCTCCACCAGCGAACTACCCCCACCACCCAGCCACCTCAAACAGAATCCAAGCTAAAACCCCGTACTTGCGGCGCACATGCGGCCTCCAGACTCCAAACCCCAGCACAGCAGACGCACACATTGCGCGCGCGCACGTTGCCTTCCCAGACACACCTATAAAAATTCTGGTCCCCGCCACTAAGCTGAACTGTCAGATTTTGGGTCCTCGTCTGCAGATTTGGGGCAATTGTCGCTGCTCCGAATTTGGGTGTATTTAAGACGGGGGAGCAGGGTAGTGGGTGGGTAGAGGTTTGCTTTCGTCAGTTGATTGCACCGTTTTAAACTCTTATTTTATTTTATTTTATTTTATTTTTTGAGACAGAGTCTCACTGTGTTGCCCGGGCTAGAGTGCCCTGGCGTCATCCTTGCTCACAGCAACCTCAAACTCCTGGGCTCAAGCGATCCTCCTGCCTCAGCCTCCCGAGTAGCTGGGACTACAGGCATGCGCCACCATGCCCGGCTTATTTTTTCTATATTTTTTTAGTTGTCCAATTAATTTCTTTCTATTTTTAGTAGAGACGGGGTCTCACTCTTGCTCAGGCTGGTCTCGAACTCCTGAGCTCAAACAATCCGCCCGCCTCAGCCTCCCAGAGTGCTAGGATTACAGGCGTGAGCCACCGCGCCCGGCCTGGGTTTGAACTCTTCTATGAACTGACACTGTCCGCGTCTACGCGGCCTGGAGAGGGTGAGGACGGGTGACTAGGTGGTTACATGGATAACTGAATCGGGGGAAGAAGGGTTCTGGCCCAGACAGGGCTTATCCCTTCCGTGCGGGCCCTCAGCTCCTGCACCCACGGGCCAGATCCGGAAGACTCCGGGGAAATGTTGGAGGAGCCAGTGAGGGCGCGTCCTGCGGGCTCACGACGTTAGCAGAGCAGCTCGTCCAAGGGGCGTGACATCTTCTCCGACTCAGAGCTGGCGCTAAAAGGTCGCCAAGGATGACTCATGCTACCTCTTCATTTTACTAATGCGAGCGGGCGGAGGGGACCCTCCAGCTGTGCCAGGGCGGAGCCCCAGTCCCGCGCGCTCGAGGCCTTGCTTTTTCCCTGGGTTTGCGCCAAGTGAGGAGTCGCCCCCGCTGGCTGTGCGGACCGACGGCGCGGCCAGGCCTGGCCCTGGCACCAGCGAAACAAGCACAGCAGGGCACCATAGACTGGAGTGGGGGGACAAGAGTGTCTGTCACCCGAGGTGGCCCAGCCCCTCCTCCTCCCCACCCTCTGCCCACCTCGGGAAGCCTGGGGGGAGGGGAGAGCCGAGCTCCGCTGGGCTGTCGGGCCCTCCCTTCAATCCAGGCTTCCCGCGTGGCCCCTGCCGACCAGAGCCCCGGCAGTCCTGCCTTTCCGTTGCTGGATGGGGAGGCAACAGACACCCCCTTTAAGTTCTCCCCCACTTATTTTTTTTTAAGTGAGGCTAGCAAAGAGAGTGGCAAACGCTTGAGAAATGGTTGCAATGTCATTATTTTCTTTTTTCTTTTAGATTTCTTTCTTTTCTCTCCATTTATTTTTTCTTTCCATCTCTCCTTTCTGTGTCCCACATTTAAGCCCTGGAAGGACACAGGGAAAACTTGACCAGACACTCTTCTTCGGGCGAGCCTGCGCCTGATCTCTGGGTAAACCACCGACCAGAAACAGCTCCTCCAAGGAAGCCGTCCCTGCGGGCTGTGCCTGGAGCGCTCGGTCTCTCCCCCCTTATTCGAGGAAAAGCTTTCGAAAGCTTTCCCCAGCATAGCCAGCCTCCCCTTCCCGTTCGGTGGCTGCCTCCTTTGTGAACTAATGACTGTAATTATTACCTCCCGGAGCTCTTTTGTTATCTCCAACTCAGAGGCCCAGAGAGGGGGGAAAGGGCTCTTTGGCGAAATGAAAGTCATTATAAAGCAAATTGCCGTCTAAGGAGGGCCTGGGTTAAGGAAAGACAAATCAGATCCCGTCTGCATCTGAAGCAGGATGCGTTTAAATGAAAAATGTAAATACCACCATTAGATTCCAAGTACTCCAGAGCTGCGGGATTTCATGGAGTTTAAACAATAACATTTGAAGTCATTGCTTTACCAAAAAAAAAAAAAAAATCTCTTAAATTCAGGTGTTGAGATTTCTACCTTCCTCATATTTTAATCCGTTTCTTCCTTGGGGATTTTGTGTGTATTTTAAAGACTTGTTTTTAAGAACCTTTATGCTTTCGACACTCATCCATAGTTGGAAAGTTCTGCAACCCCAGCCGGAGGTTTGAAGCAGAACCTTTGCAGATTTGGTGTGGATTTCAACAAAGAGCCTGTCTCTGCGCTGCTGGAGCGGGCGCGGCGGAGCTGCCCTCGCCGCGGTGCAGATGGCAAACCGAGTAACCTTTGCGTTCCTGGAGTTGTTACCTTTGTCAACTGCAGCGTCGGAGCCGGGAGGGCCGGGAAGAGGGGCCGAGCTGTGGCCTGGATTCGTGACCGCCGCGCTCGGCAGCCTGGCCCGGGCTGCTCCAAGCAGCCAGCTCAGCGCCACGCCTTCCGCAGGGCCCCGCCCGCGCCCTCCCGGGGCCCACCCGCGGCGCCCGGGCCATGGTGTGCATGTCACGTCCGTCTGCTGTGCATGTCATGTGAGACGAAGACAACGCTTTGTGGAGAGAATTGACCAGGAGACAGTTGTGCCCGGGGACACAGGACCTGGCCATGCGTCCACCCTGAGCCCCACGACGCCCCACCTAAGCGAGGGTGGAGGACACACGGGTCTCTGCTTCGGCAGCGGCCTTGGTGGCTGGGTCGGAAGGTCAGAGGGAGAAGGGCTGTGGACACAATGGAAGTAACAGGCGCTCATGCCAGGCGCGGGGAGGGCAGAGGCGCCAGAACCCGCGCGCAGCTCCTTCCCGCCAGGGTCATCCTCTGCCCGTCGCCGCGAGCCCCGGGAGCGGCCAGGTGTGCTTGGAGTTTGTCTCGACCGCCAAGAGAAAGCCACGCGAATTCACGGCACCCTGCTAACAGCTCTTGAGAGAGAGGAAATCATCAGAAAGATTCTGACTTTCTCGCCTTTTCTTTATTAGAAAAGGAGGAACCCTTGGCCACCAGGCCTTAGAGACCTCGCAGTCCTCCTCCCACCTCCGCCCCCCACCGTGAAGATTCTCAGGGGGGTGTGTCATTGGTTTGAGGCCCCCTAAAACGAGGGCCCAGCAGGCGATGCCTTCTTTCCTACAGGTCTGGAAAGCCGAGATCGCTTAGGTGGAAACCCCGTGCTCCCCTCCCACGCACACGCGGATTCCCGTCACGCGTAAGCAGCGGGCCCTTCCACGCCTCGGCCGGCCAAGGTCACCAAATGACCTGATCCCATCCCCCAGCCCCCGTCGGCCGTCAATCCTGCTGGCTCTGGCCACTCTCCCCGACTCCCTTCCAAGAAGTTTCCATCCTTTTATTTTTTTTTCTCCAGCCCGGGGTCCTCGGTGACAGACTCCAGCGTGGATTTTAATTGCCTCAATCAGCGGTCTTTGTCCGCAGCCGCCAGTCAGGACCTGGACGGTGGTCGCGCGATCCAGCCCTCGGCTGCGCACCGAGAACGCGCCCCCGGGGACGGCGCGGTTCAGCGGGCCGGCGCGAGGCTCTTCCGAGGGGCTGAAACGAGCCCAGCAGCCGGCAGGCGCCCTTCCCCCACCGTCCCCTCCCCAACCTCGTGAAAGGCCCCCGATTCCCGCCTGGTGGCCCGAGCTCTCGAGGTCGCAGCGACCTCAGCCCCTGCTTGGAGGAAGGAGGCGCGGGGATTGTGCTCCCTTCCCCGCAGCCGGAGCCAGACCTCAAACAATACACCGATCAACGCAAACATGGAACTCGTCTCGGCCACCCTTCCCGCCTCGCCGAGGTCACCCTAGTCTGCCCCTCGCTGAGGCCAGTGCGCAGCCGGCAGCACCCTGGACAGCGCGCCCGGGAGGACGGGGACAGCCGACACTTCACGCTCCCGCTCCCGGGGACGCGCCTGCACGCGTCCCACCGCCTCGCTGTGACTCCGGCTTGCGCGCGGTCTGCCTGGCGGCCTCACGACTCAGCTCCCTCCCGCTCCCAGCGTTTCCTCCGCCGCCCCCTCATCCGCCACGCCGGGCTCGCTCTGCCCGAGAACCTCTCTGGCGCTCTGCGCTTTCCTGTCTCCGGGCTGTGAGGACCCTTCTGTCCCCTTCCCTGTTTAAACTCCGCGGCTTCCAGACCGTTGCCACGTCCCTCAACCCTAACTCCAGCACACGCGCGCACGCGCGTTCTCTGTCCCTGTGTGACACCCGCCCTCGCCGCGCGGCCGCGCAGGTCCCCGCGCGGCGCCCTCCTCCCGCCACACAGGCGCGCGCGCGCAGGCCCGAGCGGGAGGCAGCTCGCCCGCAGCTCCGCACTCGGCGGCGACCTGCTCCAGTCTCGCAGCGCCGATGGCATCTCCCGGCTCCGGCTTTTGGTCCTTCGGGTCTGAGGATGGCTCCGGGGATCCCGAGAATCCCGGCACAGGTAGGAGAATGGGGACCTGCAGCACAAGAGTCTGCAGGCGGACTGGGGTTCGCGGGGCTCCCGGGAAGATGAAGGTTTTTCCACCTGCAGCAGGAAACTTCTTCGGGCGCTTCGCCCTGCTTTCGGGGTAAGTCCTTGACGGCCCAAGAGCCCAAGACCTCTACGGCCCCCTGTTCCCTGGGAAGGCCCCCAAAGAATCTCGGGCCCTTCCGCGGAAGGCTGGGGGAGCCCCCCAAAGACGAGTCCGTGGGCCTGGGGCGCTGCTACCGCCTTGCTACCTGGAGCCTGGGGAGGGACGGAGGGGCCGTGCCGATAGGAAAAATGGGGACGGGGAGGGAACCGGTGGTCTGGAGAGACAGCCTGCGAGGAAACGGACAGAAGCCTCGGCGTCTGGGAAGACTCGCCCAAGCGAGGCAGGGGGGGGACTTGGCCTGGACCGACGGGCGCCTGCACGGCGAGCGCGAAGGGCGCGGTGTGGGCTTCTCCCAGGGGGACGGATGAGCCGAGTGAGGGTCCTGACGCCCGGGCTCCCTGCCTCGCGCACCCGCCACCGCACCGGGTCCCAGGCGGCCACGCGGGAGGAAGGCGACTCTTTCGGGCCCCCGGGCCCGTTGACGTTCACATAGAACGAAATTTCACACGTCCGTCTGCTGTTCTCTTTCTGCCTCGCCGTCCGCCCGCCTGTCTGTCCTCGCAGCCAGAGCCTGGTGCCAAGTGGCTCAGAAGTTCACGGGCGGCATCGGAAACAAGCTGTGCGGTGAGTGTCTGCGCGCAGGGACGCGGGACGGGCAAGGTCGGGCGCTCGCGGCCCGCGGGGTCTACGCCGCCTTCTCGCCTCCGCACCCCCCGTCAGCGGAGGCGGGCTTCCCTGGCCGCGGATGGGCGAGGGCGCGGGCGCGGGCGCCGGGCCTGGCGGGCGGCTGACCGAGGCCCGGATCCCTGTCCCCGCGCAGCGCTGCTCTACGGGGACGCCGAGAAGCCGGCGGAGAGCGGCGGGAGCGGGCCCCCGCGGGCTGTCGCCCGGAAGGCCGCCTGCGCTTGCAGCCAGAAGCCCTGCAGCTGCCCCAAAGCGGACGTCAACTACGCGTTCCTGCACGCCACAGGTAAGGGCGCCCCTGCCCCTCTCTCTGCGCCACCCAAGGCGGCCTAGAGGGACGCCCGGGGCGCCGGGAGCCGGGCGAGGCTTCGAGGTGGCGGGCCGAGGCGGGCCCTGGCACAGGCTTCAACGACAGCGAGAAACGCTGGGCCTGCCCGCGGGATCCCACAGGGCCCTGGCGCCGCCGCGCTGTCCCCCGGCGCGGCCCGGCGGTGGCGGAGACCGAGGCGCTCGCGCGCGCTGCGGCTCGATGTCCGCGTCCCTCGGCCGCTGGGGCCTGGGTGGGTCGGTTTCTAGATGCCGGGCCAGGGAACTCAGAACTGCACAGATCTTTTAGGTCTTTAGACTAGATCGCAAGAGTGATTCGTAGCTGCCTTTTCACCGGAGAACGATCTGTTCGCAGGAGACCCCCGCGCCAAGCTTTACCCCCGTGCGCTTGCACGCCCGCTTTCCCAACCTGCACACACGCGCACACGCGCACTCACACGCGCACTCACACGCGCACCCATTGTGGAAACGGCGGCCTTCGTAACAAGCCACAGATCCTAAGGCTGCACGTTCGGTTTGGCCTGGTTCGCCCGAGGCATTCCTCAAACGTTTCTGACGCGAAGTATTTCCAGAAACGTTTAAGATGATTTACTGAGAAATATCATTTAGGAAATAATGAAGTGCTGTGAAATAGATAAATGGAGGCACACTCTCTTCGAAAAAAGAAAGCAAACAATGAGTTACAGATTGAAATGCAAGAATTCATTTGGAGAGGAGAAATCGTAATTTCTTTCGTTCATTCTCTTCATCTTTGAAAAATGCCTCTCCTTTAAAGAAAATGGTTTGCGTTTCCAGAGCTTTTTTGTAAACACGAAATTTCTCAGTTCAAAGAGAAATCGCCTGATCAAGATCTTGCCTGAATATTTTCACAGTAGAATTAAAATGTGGCATTTTTAATTCCATTCTTAGACCTGCTGCCTGCCTGTGACGGAGAAAGGCCCACTTTGGCGTTTCTGCAGGAGGTTATGGACATTTTGCTTCAGTATGTGGTGAAAAGCTTCGACAGATCCACCAAAGTGATTGATTTCCATTATCCTAATGAGCTGCTTCAAGAGTATAATTGGGAATTGGCAGATCAACCACAAAATTTGGAGGAAATTTTGATGCATTGCCAAACAACTCTAAAGTATGCGATTAAAACAGGTATTGTCCAATCAGAGATAATAAAGCTGTTTTTTCTTTTACAATTTTTTTCTATAAAAATGTTTTGTTTTATGGAGTTACTGGTATTTTCAAAATTGCAGTTATTTTCATCATTTTAAAAAATAGTCATTATTAGAATGCTTCCAGTCAAAAGCACCTTCCACTATTGTTAATGCTTCTGAAGTTGATAATATCAGAAACAGTATCTAAGCATAAGTCATCAGATTTTACATTGCAAGTATTCGGTCATGGAGATTTAACCACTGGTGTAGAAGCAACCATTTGTCAGCAGAGGCCAGTAGAAGCAACCCAAAATGGAGAAAGAAAAGGAATATGGAAATTAAAGCTCAAAAGGCATGATCCAAACAAAAGCCCAAATACCAGTGTAGTGCTGGTAGTTTCTTTGGCATAGAACTGATCAGAAACTGGGCTAACCATTCTATGTAACGGTTGAGCCAGAGGGGTGATGTTTTGGCATTGTCTCAAATGCCCAAGACTTCAGATTTGAATTCCAGATTTTCTCCTATTTTTAAAGAAATGTGCACACATAGACAAAAAAACACAATATAGACTAGCAATTCAGCCATGTTATATAAGGATGTGTGTCCTTCACAGCCACTGTGTATGTAAGATAAAGAAAGGAGGGAGGAGTGAATCAGATATCCTCAGGGGTAAATTTTTTCTAACGTTTTCTATTTTGTGGTCTGACTATTGGTTTTTCACAGTATTCTTTATATGCTATCCATTTTATAGCTCCAGGTGTAATGTTTACTTGGGTGCACTCCAAGCTTTCATTTTATCTGCACGAAGTTAGCTATTCATCTGCCCGGTCATGATTACCCTTCCCTTCTACATGATCTCTAATCATCCTGATGCGTGATAGCATAGCGCTTCATTAAAGCAATAAAAATAAATACGAATGAATTTCTGGGGGCAGAGAGGAGAGACTTTGCGAATCTAAATTGATTAGTAGCCTTAAACAGGCTTGCTAGCAAGTAAAAAATGTACAATATGGCATGAACATTATTTACCATAGGATTGTCATCTTTTTACATTGCAAATTTTTTGTTGGTGAATTATCAGTATTATTCTAATGGACTTTTAGCTCTTTTTTTCACATTCTTTATACCAATGGAGAGGAAAGGTATGCATAGAGGAAAAGAGGCCTTGGGAAATCGATTTATTATATTATTAGCATACACTTTTGTGAGACTGTAGACTTGGAATTAGATACAGAAGGAAAGGAATTTAATTTCTGCATTTCTAAGTCAATCTGTGGAGTATAATTTTTGAAGCCTCATTAGATATCACCTGCAATTAATGTTGGTGAGAACCCACATGATGTCTATACTAGGCATTAAAAAATGTACCCACCCAGCTTTTCATGTATCTGTCAGTGCAAACCTAAACAATGCTTTTAATTCCTTTTTCTTTGATCCATTCCCCTTGCCTAATATTAAATAAGTTAATAGTACATTGCAACCTATTATTTTTATTGCTACCAAACCAAAAAGAATCTATGAAAATGTTTTACATCTTCACCCTTAAAAGCTAGTTGTGTTTGAAATGCAATTTAAAGAGTTAAAATAATGGGAATTGCAAATCAATGAAAGTAATAGTTCTGTCTACCAATGTTTCGTTTAATATCGGAAAAAGATGGGCCAATTCAATACTTAGATTTTAGCATAATGCTTGTGTAGCTATTAGTCAAGTGTTGCTCTAAGGCATTTTATTTCAAATTCCAATAAAAATATGATGGATTCAGTTGGATTTCTAAGCAAGGTGTATCAATACTAATTCAATATCTCAATATTATTCATAACATATTTAGTCTGCTGCCCTTCTCCCCCCAAATAGCATTTCAAAAAATTAACAGCAGTCATCTTCTCTCCTCAACTGGCAAGTTTATGGATTTTTGTGCTGTAACTGTCGGATTTGTCATCTAGTACTATTTAGGATCTGTCAGAGTAGTTACCATCTTGCTACCGTTAGACATTGTAATACTCCTGGGGAGATTATTTTATAAAATGTATGTTATTCCCTGGTTTCTACTATAAGACCTTAACCTGATTTCTACTTGGGCTCCAGGCTTAGAGAGGAATGAGGGACAGCGGGGAAATACTTTAAAATGAAGTCTTTGTGGATTATTAAAATTGCCTCTGTAAGAAATACTGGAATACAAACTGCAGGAAATGACAAAATTCTGGACCAGTTAGCATTCGTGGAAGTCGTCAGATTTGGTGGTGGTGGCTGGGGGAGACAGGAAGGGTTAATGTAGTCTAGAATCTTTAACCTAAACATCAGACAAAGGGAACTGAAGCGTCAATAAATGAGTCCACCGCAGTGCCAGTGTATAAAAGGCAGTTTGGGTTGACTTTTGGTCCCTCCAAAACTGATCGTGAGCTTCGGGTCAGAGTTGCCTGAGCTTCCAGAGTCTGAGCATCCTCCCCAGCTCGTTTGCTGATCTGTGGGGAACATTCCAGAGTCTGGAGTGGCAGGAGTCCCATGTCTCAGACGCTCTGTCTCCCTGGCTGCTGCGTAGCTGTGTGTGGCCACCAGCGTGGCAAGCCATCACCGGGCCAGCCTGCAGTGACAGCAGTGGGATGCCGGGGGCTGTGGGGACAGCTGACAGGCGCTCACACTCTCTCTCAGAGAGCCCCGCCTGGATTCTCTGGATAGCCCTGGAAAGCCGCCTGTAGGGGCCACAGGACAAAAGTGATTATAATTAGGGGAATATTTCTCCCAGACATCAAGAGAGCCTGTTGCCCTGCCCTGTCACACTAGCTCCCTCCGTACTGGCACATAATCATGAATGAAAAGTGAGTGAATGAATGAAAATCTTGAGGCAGGAGAGAAGCGGGTGAAATGGCTGGCCAAGGTCAACACCACATCTGGAGAAGGGGACACCCAGCGGCTGAAGCATCGCACTGCTTTCCCAGTTTCCCACAAGTAGTCGATCAGGGCGACTGGCCTTCTGATGTCCAGGGCCAGCACATCCCTTGGAGTCTCAATTTTCTGCAGAGGTTTCCATGCTGCCGTTTCCCTACTGTTAAATACCGAGTCCTAATGGACACTAGATTTATCCAGAAAATTCCTGTGAATTGGGAGAGTAGATTAATGGATAGATTTGCTAATCCTTATTAATTTGCTAATCCTCACCTTTAGAAAAAATGGCTTAGGGAAAGAGAAATGAAGGTATATCGGGGGAAGAAGACGTGATTTCAGCTGTGATTTCGGCTGCTGGGGTAATGAAATGGGGAGTCAATGAGGCAGAGAGGAGTGCAGGGTTGGCCCAGAGTCATCGGCAGCAGCAGCAAAGAAGGCCTTTTCACCTTTCCTGGATGGGTGGACTGAGCGGGGTTGTCCTCCGAGGGCCTGGAAAAAGAGCAAAAAGGTAGAAGGGTACCAGGGGAGGCCACGAGGAGGTAAATTCATGCTGGAGACAAGTCCCAATCCTTCTAGAATGTGCTGTCTCCCAGCGCCTATCTCTTCCCAGTGTCTATCTCTCTGGCCACATGCCCAAGGCTGATAAGGGAGCTCTCCAGTCCAAGAGATAAGCTGTGTGCTGCCTTTGTCCCCGCTTCCCCCATTGCCTGCCTTTATCTTGTTTTGCTAGTACTGGCGATGAGACTCTCACATCCCCAGGCTTCAGACAGGTGTCCAGTAAGTGGCAGATACCTTTTTATCAGATGCTGTTTCCATAATTGCTAATCTGCCACAATTTTTGCTGCTATGCAAATCACTTATCGATAGGCTTTTATGGGGTGAGAGGAGGAAACAGAATGCTAATGAGATATTTATAATCACATTTTAAATAATAGCCTCAGGAGAATGTGGATGTCAATCCGTTTGGAGAGTTTTGGAGAAATCCAGAAGTTAATTAGATAAGCCTCGCTAATGGACTGCTCAGTCCACTGAATATCTCTTCATGTATCTTGTTGACAAGACAGTAATGTTAACTGTATTCGGCTTTATTTTAAATTGTAACTATGAGGGAGCTCTGTTGTTTATAATCAAATATTCGACAGAAAAGAATTGACAAGAATTAGTTTTGTCCACGCCATTGTTAGACAACCATCACCTTTTGAATCCAGGGCAAATCACTCAGCAGTGTCCTATTTTCTCATTTTTGCCCTGTCTTTTGTAATCATCAGCCATTTGTCACTGATATTATTATGAATGTTGGCATGCCTGGCGGATGTCACGGTACGACTGATTCTCAGAACGGCTACAACAAAAAAGGATTTTTAGCATCATGAGTGCAAACAAAAAGTAACCTGTCTTTGATTTGCTTTGGGTTGCCAGGAGCATTTTAGTTTGCAAAAATATTGAAAGAACATAGAAAATAAACTACTGTCCAGATTGAAAACCACATTTGTAATTTTTTATAGGGTATGTTTAAAGGAAGATTTTTAGAGTGTGTTTCTCAAAACCCAAAGGTGTCTCTGTGGTTACAGGAAACGCTTTTTGGGGTGTGTATATATGTGTGTTTTTGTGCGTTCGCACATGCGTGTGAATGTTGGCTTTCTGAATATGAATTTCCTGTTGCTGAAGGATCTCTCAAGGTTCTTTAGCTACAGAAATCATGTGTTTGAGAGGCATTTGTTTTCACTGGAGGCCATCCTGATTCTGGTATTCCATGTTATTCAGGGCATCCCAGATATTTTAATCAACTTTCCACGGGATTGGACATGGTTGGATTGGCAGCAGACTGGCTGACATCAACAGCAAACACCAACATGTAAGTAGCTAAATGCATTTTTGTGTAATCCAGGATAACTATTAGTGAGATTCTATAGTCTTTACCTCTTATGTGAAAATATTTTTATTAAGTAGCCCCTAAAATAGTGATACGAACTTCAGAAGTATACAAGTGTTCACTTGAACTTAATAGAAAATGGTCCTGATATATTTTTCATCCAATCAAACTACACAAAAATTTTAAAACACAAAAAGGATTTTTTGGCATTTGGGGTTTATAATTAGGTATAATGTGAAAGAGAAATGGGACCAGATGTTGTCTTTTAAATAAGTGTTACTCTGCAATGTTCTTTATTTATTCACTACGCTAAACCATTCACGTGCATTACGTCAATGATTGAAGCTTCCTCATTTTAGGAATATAGAAAAATGAGCAACCCTTTTGGAAGACCTTTTTGAAATAATTTTCTCCCTGCTTAATGTTATAACATTTGCGAATGTGCATTTTGAAAAAGGAAAGAGTTGTATAGCTATTGTAATGGTGAGTTATTTCTTTGAGTTATATACATAAAATGTGGCCATTACTACATTTCAGGTTCACCTATGAAATTGCTCCAGTATTTGTGCTTTTGGAATATGTCACGCTAAAGAAAATGAGAGAAATCATTGGCTGGCCAGGGGGCTCCGGCGATGGGATATTTTCTCCTGGTACATGATATTTCAATCTTTCTTTGTGTGTTTTCTTCTGCTATGCAATGCTTTGTTATGAAGCTAGGAAGGATTAAATATCTAACCCTTATTTCTGCTTAGGTTAAATAGACGGCATTCATCAAAAGAATGAGTGTGATTAAGTGCACATGGCCATGCCTCCAAGCTAACTGCGCCATGCTGGAACGTGACTTAATTGTGTTCAAAAGGAGCATAATCAGAGATAGTGCTTACCCAGTACTTCTACTGTGATCCTAGGGCAGGATGTATGGATAATAAGGGACAGAAGAATAAAGATTCCTAATAAGGGAATTCACTCTCTGACGCTCCTCCTAGAATTAGTGAAAGTAAAAGCGTTGACGCATTTGCTGCTCTAGGGCACGTAACAAGGCAGATCTACTCAACAGAGCATATGTAGCACTCCATTCTCTGAAATAACAGATAATTTCTTGGAGCTAAAAAAGCAGTGATGATTTCTTCAAGAGTTTTCTCATCCCTTCTCTCCTTTATCATGCCGTCCAATCTTTTCCATCCTGCCCTTCATGACTAGCTATTGCATTCTAAGCTCCATTATTTACAACTCTTCGAGCCAAGAGAATCAACCTGAAACAAAAAGCCATGCCCTTGGTTTACGGTTCTACGTGTGACCTTGGTTGGATGCAGAGAAGAAATAGAAATTAGGAAGGCAGTGGGAAAAGAAGGTCACTGACCCATGGAAAAGAAAGCTGGTGTGCAGTCCATCACCTAATCAGTGGCAGAAAGTGGTGTCATCAGCTCATCAAGAGGGACCCCGCTGGAGAGGCCAGAGCCACACCTAACTGTAGTGTCAGGCAGAGCAAAGGCCACGTGTGAACTCTCCTCAGCAAATCTACAAAGACAAGCAGATGATGGGGGCGGGGGGAAGGAAAAGAAAAAGTGGAAAGAAGAGATGATAGACAAACAACAGTGACCTCAAGGCCAGGGCATAAGGGAAGCATGTTTGTCGGCAAGCTCAGGTCTGAGATTTTATTTTATGTTTTTACACATATACCACAATTTTTCAGGTGCTAAAGGAAAAAGTGTTAGTTAAATGGAAGGGGAAATTAGCCTTTTTTAAAAAAAAGTCATTGAACACCAGCTGTGATGAATTTTAAGCCAGCCTTTATTTTGTAGGGAACTTAATACTTAGTTTTCCTTTGGAAAACCGTCTCTGTTGAGGGAGCTTTGCCACCATCGCCTGAAAATGATGCTTTGAAGGTATTTTTCAAGAGGAATGAGGTAGGGTACCAAAATAAACATCATTTCTACCTTTATTCGTCCTCTTCTTATGTGGCTGGTTGTAGGACTGAGCTGCCCTTGAGGTGAACTGAGATCATACTGGGCTCCATTTTAATGGTCCCCAAGAGTGGACAGAGAACAGCTGCACCTGTTGACCCTGAAAATCTGGGGCTGGGCCTAATTTACCTGGCTGGTCTGGTAACCTACATGCCCCAGAAAGCATACACCCAGAGAAAGAATCCTCTTTGGCAGGCCTGCTAGGCTAGCTATAGACTCAGGGCTTTCCCCTCTGCCCTTGTTGATGATGAGAAAGGACAAGGGAGAGAACATTTAAGCTCTATTATGAGGATTCCAGGCTTTCTTGGGGCCCAAAGACCCATATGCTGCTACCCCAAGGTGCAAGCCATAGATGTCACTCTGCAGTGTAATGCAGACATTGCAAAGTGGGGAGGGGGCAGCAGAGATGGCCCTTGGCAACCCGTTTCTGCTCTACTTTCTACAAAGCACCATAGAAGAGAAATGGCCATAGCATCCTTCCTTGCTAATGGACGCTTTTCGAGGTAGCATCCAGCCTCGTTCCTGGGGTAAAGGTCTTACAATTTAAGGGTTGGGGATAGAGAAAATCATACATCCTATGTGCCTGGGATCTAAAAGTCTCATTCTCTGGGACTCAACATGAAGAATTATATCTGTGACTTGAATGCATAGCCCAGTTCATTTGCCTTGCACCTCTGTCTATAACATCCACAGGCTTTAAGCTTCTGAGGCCCATAAGCCCCTTCTTCCCATTCAGAGTTGCTGGGTCTTTTGGCCTGGGGGTAGCTGTATGCAAAGAGCACTTTCTTTGGGTACATCATCCCCTTCCTCTTCTCTCTTCCCTCCTCCCCCAGCCTCTTTGAGAAGGACAACTAGAACTTCAGTTCTCAAATGGGGCTATTTTGCCCCCCACGGGGGACATTTGGCAATATCTGTAGACATTTTTCATTGTCTGGGGAATGGGGTCTACTGGCGTCTGATGGGTAGAAGCCAGGGATGCTGCTCAACACCCTACAATGCCCGGGACATCCCTCACCACAAGGAATTGTGTGGCTCAAAATGTCATATGTGCCAAAACTGAGAAACTATGAGCTAGAGTGGATGTCCCTGTAAAAGCTGACCCCGTGTCCAGCATCCTACACTCAGTCTTTCAGACAGGGTGTGTGCTCAGAGCAGGCTTGACCTGGATTCTGCTTGTCCTGTGTCTCTGGGGTCCAGAAAGGTAGGAATTGCCCTCATTCTGACTGGTGACAGAGCCGGGATCTGGGTGATGACTGCCCTGTGCCAGGCAGCCTGCTTGGGTGGAAGCCCAGGACTCATGAGGCAAAAGTCATAGCCCTGTGTGGGCCATTCAGCTTGACACAGACCCTTCTGCTCCTTAGCCTCCAGGAGGGAAGGCCACTCAAAGCACCCGCATGGTGGCAGGCCCTTTGGGTGGGAGGGGGAGGTAGTACCTCACTCTGCCTCATGGTCTCATGCCTTCCATGCCAGCATATTCATTTGCATTCATCACAATCTGTCTTTTCCCTGCATAGCAAAAATCCTAAGCTTCCAACAACCCTGGGGAAATCTCACTTTGCTTTTCAAGTGAGCCTCTTCTTATAAGGCATGAATTTATGGTATGGAATCCTGGACAATCTTAGGATGACGCAGGGAAACTAATACAGTGTAGACTTAAAATTCTCTTAGTAATGTGTTTCCCTTATAATTATGAAATAAGTTTCATTAATGAATACAATTCTATTTCAATGATGTCCTTGAGCGGGAAGGACCATGTTGAGAGAATGAACAGATGAGTATGATGAGGTGGACTTGGCTGTTTATCCTTCATTCTATAGGAATCACTGGTTAACAGCCCACACGGTTAACAGCAGCTGATTTATCTTAATCCGAGTGCAAGGCATTGCATGAGTTGAAATGAAAAGAAATAAGTGTTCTCCATCGGGATACAAGTAGGATTTTACGGGCCTAATGAGGAATAATCACACTCACAAGCTGGGAAGGAAGGCAAAATTTTCTCTTTTTAAAAACTTCTTCAAAGGGCTCCCAGCAAGAGCAGAATGAACTGCAGTTCCCCTTGGTGACAGAGAGGGGTGGGGTAAGGTGGCACCTGCGCAGTGGCTGGGACCAAGGTGTCCTTAAGCCTGAGAACTCACTTCCAAGGATAGCCAGCAGGGTTTCCTGCTGTGTGCAAGGAGGACTCTAGGTCAGTGGAAATAGGAAGGCTGCTTGCATTTGAAATGATGTTGACAGTAAACAGGAAAAGTAACCGCGTGGCTGTGCCCTCCAGGTGGCGCCATTTCCAACATGTACGCCATGATGATCGCGCGCTTTAAGATGTTCCCGGAAGTCAAGGAGAAAGGAATGGCTGCTGTTCCCAGGCTCATTGCCTTCACATCCGAGCACGTACGTGTTTCCGTTCCTTCCAAGTTTGCGATTATGTTCCGTAAAGCCCGAGTTGAAGGAATGATGGCTGGAAATGCTTTATTCCCAGAAGACACCTCTTGAGAGAGAATAGGGGTGAGAGAACAGCTGAGGCGTACGATGAGGTGTCCTCCTTGTGGCTTTGAAATTCAGGAAAACCCTCAGAGATAAAGCAGAATGTTTTTGTTTCTGGTTCCCACCCTTCACCTCCCTGTGACAATGTCACATGCTGGGGGAGGGGGAGGAGACAAGGCAGAGTGACAGTGCGTTCACTTGGACCATGGTGCTGTGCCTATGTAGTCAAAACTGCAAAGTCTCCTGTTGACAGTCTTGCTGTTTAAATATTCACTCAGATGATCCAACACATACTCCACCCTCATGGCGCCTCGAACCATTTAACATTAACCTTTGACTGACTTTACCAGAAGTTTCATTACCATAAAGAAATAGCAGAGTGGTCTGTCATAGCTGATCTTTGGGTTAGATCAATCTCAGCCAAGCTCAGGCTCCTGCCCACTCCCAGTTAGGGGCCGATGCCTCTGATCTTCCTCATAGTATGTTATATTCCCTCCCTGGCCTTCAAAGCGTTAACCGTATCTCTCCTATACCACATAGGCATTGCACAGAGTGGTCTATCCTGCTCATAAATTGAACTAAACATCATTAGCCGGCCAGGTAGCCAGCTTTCTCTAGCATGCCAGGGAGAAGCAGCAGACAAGTGCAGGCCACCCTGCAGCTGTATGAGCGACATCTTGGTCCCAAACCCTCTTGCCACACAGGGCCTGAGATCAACCTGAGATCTGCTCCCTGATGGGCATCAGATGAGCACTACCTGTGTGTATTTCGTAACACTGTTCCTTCATGACCTCTGCCTCAAAGGAGCCTAATGTCTGGACCACGGCTGCCTCAGAGAAGATCAGAAGTCCCCTGATGGCTAGGGAATGGGGAGACAGCAAGGGAAGCGGGGGGTCTACAGGGAGACTAGGGGCTGCTGTAAGGAGACATCACTCGTGAGAAGTAGGGAGCCACAATGGGTCTCAGATTCACCATGGAATTTTTCTTTTTCCTATTTTGAGTGGAGCGTATGCATCTGTGTGTCTGCGTCTGTCTGTGTGTGTGGCTGTGTGTTCATAACAAGGAAATACAGGGCAAGTACGGATTGGAAGGCAGTAGATACAGTTCACTCAAAGCAGTAGTTGTGGAATTAAAGGAAACTAGTGATTATATATTAACAAATTATCTTGAACATCTTGTTTTCAGTAATGTTTTGGGGTTTTCTTATTTTTTAATGCCCTTCCTTGGTTACCAGGGGTCAAATTTAGCAAAGAAGACCATAGTCTGAAATGAAATAGTGTGTTACCTTTCTGTTACTGCTGAAACAAATTATCGCAAACTTAGTGGCTTAAAACAATGTAAATCCATTATCTTACCGTCCTGGAGGCTCTCAGGGACAATTAATTTCCTTGCCTTTTTTAGATTCTAGAGGCCACTTGCATTTCTTTGTCCGTGGCCCCTTCCTCCATCTTCAAAACCAACAGCATAGCATCTTCAAATCTCCCCCCGCCTTTCTCTCCGGCCTCTGTTTCTATCACACATCTCTTCTGTCTCTGATCTGACCCTCCTGCCTCACTTTTCACATATAAGGACCCTGTTTGGATAATTCAGGATAATCTCCCATCTCAAGATCCTAATGTAATCACATCTGCAAAGTCCCTTTTGCCATATAAGGCAATAGATTCACAGATTTCAAAGATAAAGATGTGGACAGCTGTTGGGCGATCTTCATTATTCAGCCGACCACACCTAGTACCCGACCAGGAGATAACTTTCACTTCTCAGCTTCTCCAAAGTGTAGAAAAACATGATGTAATTTTTCTTCTCAATTACTGTTTCCCTGAAGTGGATTTGGACCCCTAAATAGTTAGATGTGACTACATTCTCAGCCTCGGAAAGCCCAGATGGCCTTATATCGGGCATCTTTTTCTTTTACCTTTCAAGTTGTTTCCACGAGCTAAAATGAGGTGGGCCCGGCAGCAAGCTGCCCTGTGCTCTCTGACAGGCATCTCTGGTTTCTGCACGAGCTTCTCAGCCTCATGCTTGACATACATTGGCTTGGCCTTGTCCAGAAAGCTCAGGCCATGTGGTCTGAGAATGATTTGGCTATACTGTCTTTTCCTGATACTATAAACTTGGGATCTGCTTCTTTATTTCTGAGAGAACGAAACATGATTCATGACACAGTGACCATTTGGTTCTCCCTCCTCCTTCTTGTATTTCTATCCATGCACATAAATATGAATAATTGTTTGAACTATGAAACTTTCCTACAATCTGAATTGGTTCTAACAATAATCTTATCATTTTTGACATATGAACTGTTTTTCTAATGCATACGTTATACCCGATTACTATTTGACAGTTTCTAAAAACACTTCCAATATATTGCTTGTTTGATTCTCCCAACAACCTTGTGGGAAAATTAGAACAGAGATAGTTATCAGCATTTTAAAAATGAAGAGGCTAAAGTTAGCTAGATAGGTAGAGGATCAAACCGGGTTCCCTGACTCCTAGACCAGTGAAATCCCTGCCCCAACTACCACTGTAGAAACAAAATTAAAAGATTCAGCAACAAAGTTTTGTACATAACAGCTCATCAATTGACTTAATATTTTATATCTTCCCTGTTAGGATGTGAATTTGTATGCGGACTGAGAAAGACTTCTCATATAAAGATTGGGATATAAAGATGTAAAAAGTTTACAAAAAGTTTTTTGCTTTTTCAGAGAAAGAGATAGAGAGCGAGACAGAAGGGAATGAAAGAGAGAAAGAGAGAGGGAGAGAGAGAGAAAGAAAAGAGAGAAAGGAAAAAGAAAGAAAGAGAAAAGAGGAGGGAGAGGCCACAACAGACAAAAGCAGCTTGGTATTTTAAAGGGTAAAAAAAAAATTTTTTCCCTTGCTGCAGACTGATAACAGAAGTGGCTGTGGAGCAGCTGAGTTTGTGTTTCCATTTTTTTTCTATTTTCTCTGCAAGGCTGGCTTTACCAGAGTCCTGGCAAGAGCAGGAGTGGGAAGTTTGCACCCCTACTGTCTGCTTAGGGCTCTTCAAGGCTATGAAAATGAACTCTTAGAGGTAATGAGTTAAGTCCCAGGTGTTTAATCAAATCAAAGGGTAGTTGAGTTGTGAATTTTTCTTCAGAGGGGCAGTTATGTGCTGTGAGTTTATTTCTCTTACTTTCAGCTTGATAGTTTATTTTCCTCTGTTAGATAGGTTATTAATAAGGCCACCTTTCATTCCTTAATCAAATTTCCACCATGAGCTTTTTTCTTAATGTGAAGGGGAAGCTAAATTGTTCCCTCTGCCCCCCAAAAACCCTCCTCATTATCTCATAGGGCTGGACTGTAGGGGGCTGAACTAAAAGTGAGTCCTGGCTTTGAAGCTCCAGGTTAAGAGATAACGTGATCCTCATCTCTCGTTCCTTCTGGGCTCTAGACCTCATGCGTTATATTCAATTCATCATTTACTGTAGCTCCTTCTGGCCTCAGGCCAGGCAGGCCACATATTCCCTTGGTCTTTTCAGATTTTATAATCACTTTGTCTCCACCAGCTCCAGAAATAGATCTGATGAAAGAAAATTACTAAGTCATTTCTCAAATGCTTTTTCTCCAGGCTAAACAATGTCAATACTCGCATGGAGATTTCTTTCTTGAATTGCTTGGCCCATAGGGAGAAAGGGTAGTGTCGGGCAGCTGTGTTGGTCCAGTGAGGAGAGGGGAGGCCAGTGGCTGAGGCAGAAGCTGCTTCAGATGTTCTCTCTCCAAGGCCCAAGACTTGTGGACAATCAAACAATAGCCTTAAAAAACTCTTGCCTCAGCACCTGGGACATAGGAAGCTCTATGTAAATATTAGGTAACTTAAAAAACAATAACCTTGTTTTATAGAGGGAGAAACCAACCCTCAGAGATGGCAGATGCTTCTCCCAAGGTTTCACAGCAAGTCAGTGGCAGAGCCAGATCTAGAGCTTCAGTTTCCCTACAGTCCCTATATTGCTCTTTCAGCTACTGGGCTGGATGTCCTGAACACCACTCTCTAGCTGGCTGCTCTAAATCCACTTGGAGCATCTTTTCTCAAATCCCATTTTCTCCATGTTGATTATTCCAGAGCTAATACTGATCTATTGAACCAGGTCAAGTTATTGTCCTTTATTCTACTCTGAGCACTAATTTATAACTTGGCAGGTTTAGAGCCATGCATGTGGAAATGATGTTGAGAGACTCTCTGGTCTTCTGCATCCAACTAGAAACTTCACACATTGAGGAAGACAAGAGTCATCTTTTGTTTTCTAAATGACGCTTCATTCTCTCTCCATTGAGCTCACCAAAACTACCCACCTCTTCTCTGGCCACCAACACAGACCAGAACTTTACCTAGCTGACAAGGAGGGCAACCTATTAAATTTTTCTGTTTGTTCAAATTAACGGTTTTCTTATAAAACTTGAATTAAATAGTATTACTGTGAGGAATAGTAGAAGAAGTGAATAAATCACTGAGTTGAAACAAGAGATGACATTTAAGCTATGAGTAAAAAGTTCCAAGGTTACTTTCCTCCAAAATAGAGAATCACAAAATCTCATAACTGAAAGGGATCTTAAAGATCATTTGGTTGAACATTCATCCTTTGCTGGAATCTCATGATCTTCCCCAGATTACCAGTGATAGAAGGTTTGGCAAAAAATAATCTGATGGATTCTTGATCCTTTCTTGAAAGTAGGGTTAGAGGGAAGCTAAGATTCCAGCTCAGTCATCCACATCTCTAGCTCTGAATCCTTTGAAAGCCTAAACCATGAGCTTGATTCCAGATTTCTCTTATTTCCTCATGTGGCACAAACTCTTCCAGAAACAGCTTCCATGAAACAGCATAACGTCATCTGGGAAAAATGTTCCTCCTAATCATAACAGACACTGGGATCTTTTAGGCAAATCA